CTGACCCCTGGGGCACTCCACTAGTTACAGCTAGTGGTTCAGCTGTTTCTATCCTCCTTCCATTTAATCTTATTTTCCACATAGGTTGCAACCTACATGGACCTCCACAAAGCTGGAACACAAGATTTAAAATATCAACATATTCCAGAAAAGCTATTTTTCTTTTTTAAAAATGGTAAGATATAGCTATAAAAGTCAAATAAATTCTACTGTCCTTCGTTTGCTCAGTCTGTCTCAGCTTCTTACTAGGGACAACTTACAAAACTCCTTTGTGAAACGAAAATAATCCAGTTCATGGTTACCACCGTACTAAAAACACTCTCCCATTTTGTCTTTTGCCTTCAAAGCCTGCCAATACTTTCACAGAAAGCAGTGGATGTTAACATGACTCAAGCCACTCTCAAATGCACAGTTATCTTCCAGGAATACTTTGTCTTTTGGCTAAGAGCTCAGCAAGGACAACAGAGTCTGAGTCATCATACTGGGAAAATGGAGACACAGGAAGATTTCAAAGAGAAAAAAAAAAATCTACCGAAGTCTAACCTGTATAAATACACTGGGATTTCTCTTTCTTATTTGTCTGAAGCAAAGCATTTTAAAAAAATAAGAGAGTTTCCATTTTCAACTGACATCTTCTTACTGTTCTTCTGTACCTACAGTTTCAACTAGTGAGTCAACTCACTGATAACTGAAATGATGATTGTTGTTTAAAAATCATGAAGTAGCTACAATTTTTAGTAAGAAATCTGGAAATTACAGGTAACACTCTAAAGCAATTTCCTCTATTTCTAAGAAAAATAACTGGTCAATTTACAAACAAAATCAAGAGGAAAACTCAGGAGATGAGCTAAATGCACATACTAGGTAAAACAAGTTAAAATTGTTTCTTGTGAATCCAGACGATTCTTTGAAGTGGTAATTGATACTCTTCTTCTCCCCCTCAAGTTTTTTCAATAGCGTTCCAGATGAAAGCCTCCTTCATACCTCAAGAAGGCAAAAATGCCCTTATCTATAAAAAAGGTGATCTGTGGGTTTTTTTGTTATCCCCGCCCTCCCCCATCCCATACTGTAACAAGCACTAGCATCTTTCTCCTAAAAAAAGCAGCAGTGTTTCAAGCACATGGCCAAGTGTCATCCTGCTCATACACTAATCCGAAAATAGGCATCTCTAGAAGAGAGATTAAACAGCACTGCTGTACATCTCATCCAGCTCTAACCCACAGAATTACATTTCTCGTCCTCCCCATACTGTACAAAGGCTTTATCCGTCTCACAATTTTCTATCACTTCAGCTCATTTTACAAATACCTATTCCCTTCATCTTTCCTCATGAGTCCCATTTCAGAGCACTGTAACTGGCTGCTCTTCTTCGAATTTACAGATAATTGCACAGTCAAATCCCATTTGAATATTTCAAACCTCCCATATTTTCTCTCTTAAACAGAATGGCTCTTTCAAGTGGTGCTTGGCAGTCAAGCTGCACTGCTGAAATACCGCCTTTGTGTGAGTATCTGTACCACCCTTTCCTAAAGAACTCTCCCTGTCACTGAGCCATGGCCCATAGCTATCACTTACGTGAAGTGATGCAGGACTATAATGAGAAATGGTTTGGCTTGCTAAAGATTCACAGCTATTGATGGGGAGAAATTCAATGTTGAAGAACAAGTAATTTTGTTTAAAGTGTTATCAGGAAACTAGCTATTCTTTTAAGGAAAGAAGCTGAACTTTAAGAATCAAGCAATAATACAAAAAAATTTTATATGTTATACATATCTCTGCAGGATAACTCAGTAACAGCTTACTCTACGGTAACCACAACATATTCCTTATTCTCCAAGACCAGCCACCAAAAAAAAATAATTAAAAAATCCTTGCACAATCATAGGACAACATTTAAACAAGCAACTTTTCAAGAAAATTAGTCAAATCATTTTAGCTAAAGTTTCACCAACTACTAGGATAACCTTTCAGTGAATAACCAACACAGCTAAAACTGATAAACTCAGGAAGTTACCACCACGCTGCACAGTTGTCCACGGACTGCTGGCAACACTACAAGCATAATCAAAGGATGATCAAACCACAAGCCATGCTCCAAGGTACATGCAAACATCTACACAAGGACTCAAGCAGAAAAATACTACAATGCCAACAGATTAACTTTCATCAAAAGAAGCCTTGCCATGACCTTTGTACAGTGACATCTGAATCAAAAAGGTACTTTAAATAAAAAGATACAAAAATCTTAGAACTTGTTCAGTCACCTGAGATTATGAATATGAATAATGTACTACTGAAAACTCTTAAAGGAAGTTGATGCCTTCAGTGTCAAGTAAAACAGAAGAATGCTTGACTGTTAAATATCACACGCTTCTTATGAAAGGCTCAATTTCATAGTTTAAGGGCTACTGAAATGGTATAACATATGAAGGCGTAAAATACACCCAACCACCCTATAGTGATCCTGTTTTTAATGACCGTGCCTTAAGTGCGTTAACAACTCTTTTGATAATAAAAAAACCAGAAGGCATGCTGCAAGGGCAATATTCTAAGCAATGCAATTCAAAACCTTAAATCAACTTTTACCATAACCACTTCTATTTCTTTATTCTTATGCTTGGCAAAATAGCAATTAGGATAATGGGGCACCACTGTCACTGAGCAACACTGAAAAGAGTCTGGCTGCATCCTTGTGACATCCACCCTTTAGATATTTATAAATGTTTATAAGATCCCCTCTCAGTCTTCTCCAGGCTAAACAGACCCAGGTCTCTCAGCCTTTTCACATAAGAGAGACACTCCACAATCATGTGGCACAATTGTATCTTTCTCCAGGTTACCTGGGCTGCCACATCAGAAATTAATGAAAACAAGAGTTTTCTGTCTCTAAAGACCAGACCTTATACTTGCGACAAGGAAAGCCAAAAGTAGCAATGAAGAATAATATAAAAATACATATTCAACACAAGGTGGAGCTTTTCAGAAGTTAGCTGTCAATATCTAACCATTTTCCCATAATACTCTATATAAGGAGACTTTACTTCAAATCACAGACATGCAATAGCTTCACACATAAATGATTACTAACTTTTAACATGAGCACAGTGTTTTCCTTCTACCCTTATTTTCCAATAGAGGCCCTTGCGGTCTGCCTTTCCTCAAGGGGAGTTCTGAACCTGAGCAATTACAGCAGAAAGCAGTGGTCAACTTTCAGGAGAGCTGACAACTGACACCAACAAAACGATGGAGGATACACAATGAACTGTGGTGCAAAGGCAGCTTCAAATGTCTATAGTCTAAAATGCACACCGGACCACGCAAAAAATAAGGAAATTGCACAATAATCATCAGCGAGACAAAGGACATTAGAAATATTTTCAAAGCTTTTGGAGAGATACCAATAAACACCATCTCCTCTGGGAGATGGTAAACACCATCTCCACTGGGCTACACTAGCCTCAAGAGCAAAAACAAATGTTTGTCTAGAGCAGATATAAACAAATCAAAGCCAAATGCCTTGATCTCATCCTAAAAAACAAATATTGCCCCTCCACAACCCCACCTAAGTGCTCTTTAACAAAAGAAAAACACCACCGACAAAAACCTCCAAATATTCAGAGGCTGTTTCATTGGTAACAACATTAAACAAGCACTTTACTCTTCATACGTATTTCTTTTGCTTCCATGTTAGATTTGTTGCAGTAACACAAATTTACTTGAGTTCAGAATGGCTGTGTTATAAAGACAATTCTAGTTCTGTTTTCAAGGAAATACTAAAATTTCTTAAGTGTTCCTGTAATTCAGAGTATATTTTGTTCGAGAGTCATTTTATGTTCCCGGCAGCAGGTGGCTAAACGCTTTACTACTCTACCTCCACCAAAGAGCCCTTCCAGAATCACTTGTACAAACAGTTACGCTCAAATTTCAAATTACTGTGAATACTCAGTTCCTGCAAGTTTTATGGTACAATTACCAAATTCTTACAGAAGGCTGCACTTAACATTAGCAGCATTATTCTAGAAACTATGGCGTATTTCTGCTTGAGTAACCAGGTATGTGCTACTTCTCGCAGCTGGTTTATATTAAAAATATTCTTTGGAGTTAATATTCCTGGAGCCTTATAGAAGTGCTAGGGAATTAAAATAAAAGTTCAGTACAGTAAGTTTGCTTCGTATTTGTGAAACTGATTTACATGACATACCAGAAACTCCATACAAAATTGATGGGCCTGCATTACCCCAAAAATTTAAGAGCTCAATAGCTCCACCTCAGAAGTCTACTACAGTATATGCTGTGCTGTTCCTCAAGGCATTTCTGCATTTTCTACCTAATGTTGCATCCAAACACACAGATATCATGAAAACTGCATCCTTTGAAAGCAGAAAGTTTAAGATTAGGGGCCAGTATCAGCCAGACAATTCCACAAAGCCTTTTCGGTAGTTAGAAAAATTTGACTCAACTTTCCAAAAAGGAAGTTACTCTTTCTCAGGTACAAGCTTGCAAGCACTACTCCTCTTTTCCTTGCCTTTGCTGTCAATAAACAAACAACTAAACAGAAATTCTTCAGGTCAGTAGGAGAGAATTTCATCTAAAACTCTTCTTACACTGAATATATCAAGGAACAACACGTAAAGTTTTATCATGTTGATCTCATGAGGGAGGTTTCAAAATAACAAACGTTATCTCAAAGTACCATTAATAGTTACTATAAATTCAATTAATGTTGACCAAGTATGAAAATGTTTAGTTGTGTAAAACAACATGCAAAGGAACATCTTCAAGCTTTCCTTTCCCAAATCCATTGACAGACAACCTCGAATAAAACTTGCCATACTAGCACTTTCAATTAATATAAGGCAAGATTTATAGGGAGAGAGAATATCTTACAAGACATAGCTGGAACAAACAGACAAGCTCTTCAATCCTGTCTTCAGCTCTGAAACAGAAGCAGCAAATTCCAACCCAAGCTCAGGCCAGGAACAATTTTTTTGAGCTTAACTTGATTAAATTGTCAAAGTGCTTAATTTTTAAGAGAAAAGGATGGTTGGTCCTGTGAAGCAAAAGGGGAGGTAAGCAAGAGGAGATAAAAGTTACCTGTCTACAGGTGGTAATCACCCCTCCCCCCAAAAACTTAAGGTAGTTGGACTAAATTATATGGAAAACTAAAGTTCCATTTAAAAAAAAAAGTTATTACTAAGTCTGATTTCTGATATTCAAGGGAAATCAGAATTTTCAACTCCTAGGTTCCTCCCTTTAGGGTATTTCTTACAGCTCCTCCTAGAATCACCACTACCATCAATTACAATTCAGCATGTTAAGGTACTGCCAAATGGAAATAAGTATAAAAATTCTCAAGCTGTTATCTCTATTAACGTATAGATTAACTCAGCTATCTCACTTGCTTATATGCCACAGATACATCTTAAAAATTATGAGAAGCAAAGTGCATTAAAATTTTCAGTATAAAAGCTCAATCAAACCTGCAGTGACAATATGCTAAAACGGTTTTCATTACATACTTAAGCCCAGGAGTATGAGCTATACAGACTGAGAAAAGCTTACGTTGATATTTTCTAATTGCAGTAGATGTACTGTGTAATAGGATTTGATGTCTTCAGATACTAGCCTCACACGGAAACCTGTTTCACTGAATGTCATGACTTCCTCTTCTTTTGTTGGCCAGTATTGTGCACACTTCACCTATTTTTTTAAAGGTGAGAGAAAAAAAAAAAGAGGAGGGAAAAAATCCAGTTAAGTATGCTAGTATCTTGAGCTCCACATACGCAGATTCTAAGACCCCATTATTCAATACAGTAGACTCAAGTACCTGCTCTCAGTTTGTTTTCAATAATGTTTACAGCCAAGTTACTACAGCTGTTTTAATGGCTATTATGCATTTCAGCTTTATCTCTGTAGGCTCTTTCACCGCAGGGCTAGCACGTTTTGAAATACACCTTAACCTTTCTCCCTCTCCCCTCTCTAGTTCTCTACAGTGAGCAGAGATCTTGACTCAGCTATTTCAACAGCATTTCCCCACTCCGTTTCTGATGTGCACACCAGCACATTTAATAACTGATGTAACACATCCAGTTTTCCCAAGGCTTGCTGAACACTGGAAGAAACTACTGAACAAAAGAATGAACTAACAAAGCAATGCAGAACGGTCCCTTCCTTTTCTGTTATTCCTCTTGCCCAGCACTCAAACTTTCTGTAGAAAAATTTCTGCATAAGAAAATCAGTGACTCTTTAACGGACTAGTCAAATCTTTTTCACTAACGAGTCTACTCTGAAGAAAAACCATAAACTTCAGATGAAGTTTATGCATGCACATAAATGCATATAAATGCATGCATTATAACTAAAATACAAGATGGGTTTAGGCACATCAGCAGAAAAACTGCATCATAACACAAGAGTGGTGTATTCTGCACGTATACTGTCAGCTGCAAAGAATCAAAAATAACCAGATCAGTTTGACAGTTGCTGGGCAGCAGCTTGTCTTTGTCATTACGAATGGTTAAGATCACTATATAACAAATATACTACTCTGTTAGATCTAGAAGAAATAATCTAAAGATACTTGAATTCAAATTTGTTCTCCCACCTTCCATTTTCTTCTAGACCATCTTACACTGCTTTTACTCCCTCTTATTTTTACCTGTACATCCTCCTTTCTCAGGACGTTACTTTTACCATTATGGATGTGTATTTATTAGAAGCTGTGTTCACTAAACTGAATTTTCTGTCTTGGCATCACTTTGATATTGTATTAAATACATGTTATGCCATACGCCACTGAGAAAGTCTGTTAGTTCTTTTAACATAACAATCAGACATTGTTCAACTGTATTAAAACTATGTGGCTTACTTAACAACTTTAGGTCTAATATTACTTACCGATTCTTTTTCAACAATTCTGTTCAGCATGACAACTGCTTTGGTTTGTTGCTGCCATACCATTAGCCAAAAATGGCAACATGTATTAGGTAGTGGACCCTGCATAGTTAAAAAAAAGCGTGTGAGAACGTATAGGCAAAGCAGTGTTTGAACACAGTTAAACAGTTCACCGTGTGAAACAGGAAGAAGTCTTCCTCTGAAAAGTTTAAACAAATTAAAGGCAGAAATGACAAGCAAGAAAGTAACCACACCGCACAGATCATTGCGGTACTTAAAAGTTGTCTGATTGAGGTTTTTTTTAAATCAAACAACAGAACAGCAAGAACTCAGGGAAGAGATGTTTCAGTTTGGGCATCAATACTATTGTGCTGTTAAAAGAAAAGGCACTGGCAGGCAAGCTCAGAAGATACAAGATTAAATAAGGGGTAAAGTATCACTGCAATTTCCAAAAGAAGTGAACAAAAGTGCAAGAGATATTTGAAAAGCTGTATATGCAGCAGATTATTTATACTTAAATATTCCCTTTAGATTTTTCTTAAAATATAAAATAATGTGTTCACAACTAGATCAAGCAGGGAGTTAGTATGAGATATAAATAATTAAGAGACAAGGAACCATTCAAACACAAATTATGACTGTACAAATCCCTCTCCTCCAGATTCTCACTCAATTACTAACCACCTAGTAATTGGACTACTTACCTGTGTTAAAATGTAGTATCTCTGGGCTTCTTCTATGACCACTAGGCTGGCATTGATATAGTCATTCTCGGCGTTCTGCAGTTTTACACGACTATGATCATCTAAAATTCAAAGAAAATGAAGAACTAATGATGCATCCATCTTGACAAATACTCTCTAACAGGCAAGCTTAGGTTTGACAAGCAAACTGAAATAAATTCTGGAGTACTAACCAAACGACAAACTACAAATATACATGAAACTAATTTCTCATGTTAACGACGGTAACTGCCTGTCTCCTTCTCCCCTCAGTACACCATCAGAGTAATTTCAGGCAGCTACTAATAGAAGCTGCTCAGGAAACTCAAATACCCAGTTTTCTTTTTAAAAAAAACAAATAAAACAACCTTCCCACACATGCCAAAAGATGCTCACAGTCATCCCTCAACAGTTGCATTTCATTAATACAACAGCACCGCAACCCACACCAGGCTGCACTCTTGTCCTGTCACACCACATCACTCCGCTGCATGGTTTCCCTAAAGTTCAGAATGCCAAGATTTTTGGTGAACTCAAGTTTTATACATTGAGGTAGAATTATAAAGTTACAGTCACACAGCCAAAAAAGTATCTACTTGTAATACTTCAAACCAAGCAATTTATTTTTTCCTGTAATTTATTGTTTAATACTATACAAATTAAAAATACTAAAGAAGAGGTACATGCGAAAATGAACCTATTTATCATTAATCTTCCAATTAAATGAAATCTAATCTAATTGCACAGCTTCAGTCACTCACAATTACACATGGAAGACAGATGATTCTCCTATTTATGGCGGAGGCAAGCAAAGGAGTCCATTTAAAATTCTAACATTAATACGAGAAAGATTCTCAGACTGTCATACTAAAACACGGCATAATAAAAAGCTGCTGTGGCTGTTCCTAGAACCTTTTAGTATCTGATTTATTGTCCTCTAGGAGACATTTAGGTAATCAGACTTGTTCACAGTAAGTAATCCTTCAGCCATTTATTAGAAAAGTATTAAATAAACAGCATTTTTAGTTTAAAATCTGTACACAGCTGCATGCCAGGAAATGAGAACCAACTGACTACAAACCCCATGAAGCTCAACTGGCTAGACAGACTGTTTACGAGAAGAATAAATAAAAAATAGCCAACTAAAATGAATTTAAGAGACTTCAACACATTCAGGAAGAGGTTCTATAAAGAAACCCACGGAGCTGAGTGTGAATTACGGTGCAATGTCAATTTTTAATCTACATTCACCTGGTCTAACCCACAAAACTCATTCGAGGTGCACACTGATGGCACAGCTGTTGTTAAAAAAACGTCAGCCCACTTCTCCCTCTCTCATGCCCACACCAAAAGGCCAATTTCCTTTTGACAAGCATCTTGGTAAATGCACAAAATCCATGAGCAACTACCAAGCATCCCATTCAGTGCAACTATGATAGCTGAACTCTGACATAAGTCCCTAAATCACACAGTTTATCTAAGAACTTCATGAATACGACCCCAGATAGGCAAAAAGCTGATGGGAATAAAAAAATAGTTACCAAATTAGAATCTTCTTCTATGGACCACCCATATGATTTTATAAATACTTTCCATATGTTTGGAAATCTGGGAAAAGTAAATTTACTAAATCTTGATCTGCGCCTTTATACTCTCCCTCATCTATCTGCTATTGGCAACTGTTAAAGAGGATCTTGCTGGATTCAAGGGAAAATGTCAACAGTAAATTACTTTTTTTTTTTTTTGAAGGATTGAGATTTGGGGTTGTTATCCTACCTCCTTTAGCTGCTAGCTTTTATATGCAGTCACATACAGATGTGCAGAGAAACAGAACAGAAATATGCTGAAAACCTATTTTTAATATTAAAGTATGAGAAAGTTATGGTTTCATGTGTTTTCATTAGCATTCCAGCTGTAAGGCAACACCATCTTGACTTTCAGGAGTCTTAAAACAATTTATGATACATCTGTATGAAGAAAAAATATTATCAAAGCCAAGAAACAGTAAAAGTGAGACACATGTGCATTTTTAAATAAAGTATATCTCTTTGTATTATTTTGACTGGATAGGAAAGTGTTACTCCTTCCTTTCATGTATCACTTTATCTGAAATGTTTCTACTGGAGAGAAACCAAGACCTTTGTAAATATTACATGTCATTTGCCAACAGGAAAAACTTAAGATCTTGTTATAGTAAATCACACATACCGGTACTAGTGTTCTCGGAAAGATGACGTAAGCAAGCGCTGTTAACAGTTTAATCACCCAGCAGCAGCTGCTGTATTGCTGCCAGGAGGAGATAACTGCAGAGGCTCTAATGAGGTTTCTGACTGTAATCCTTACACACATTTTCTGCATTATTTTTTTCCTTCTAATAAATTCTGCTTTGTAAATATGACAAATAAAATCTGAGTTTTTTTAAAGGCCCTTTAACAACTACTTCTATGCATAGACAGCCTTCCTCCTCCTCTCCAACTAAAGCAGAGGCGATCCTACAAATACACTGGCATCCACTCCACAGGACAAAGCAAGCCACTAGAACATATCGATTTTCCTCCCTTCAAGAGAAAGGGTTCCTGAAGGACACAATGACCTGGAAATCTCAGTCAAGCTCTGACTTGCTCTTCTGAATTAAATGAAGCAAGCCAACTTTTGACAGTGAGTTAGCTGTAACATATATCCCACATGTAAATTATTTCCAGTACAAAGTACTTCAGATTTATACGAATGATAAACCTATCTTAACTCTTATCTTAAAGATTTATCTTAAATGTTGCCATGCTCACAACAGCTAAAATATAGTACTCATTTTCTGAAGTGCTAATTCCCCTATTTCAACAAACTATGCAGCTTGAAAAGGAAGTGGAAACCTTAAAAATGCTTCTCATTCTGGCTCCTGCACGAAGAAAACTACTCCCAGAACGACCCTGAGATAAGCAAACTCTTATTACCCACTTCAAGCAAAACCCTGTCCCACTGATATCACTGACAACACTCAAATTAAGGCCAAGATTTCACATTATATATGAATTTGCCCACTCCCTGCTAAAAATAAAGTGACATATGCAGTTAAAACCAAGATAAGAAACACTTGGCATTTTACATCATACAGTTCTTGCAGCTGGTTACTGAAAGGTTTTTATTTGAAAACAACTGCGTTTCTAGAAGTGAAACCACCGCACAACTTAAAAATTATCTTTTATCCAAGAGATGACTCTGGCTCCCCAAATACAGAGCTATTAGCAACAAAGGAGGTTGAGATGCTACTTAGTGGATTAAAAGAAAGTCATAAATAAAACATGTAGCCATAAGCCATCCCAATCACCTAGTCTGACCCTTTCCTGCCTGCCAACAAATCCTCTTCATTTCACTAATCTAAATCTAGTCTATCTGAGCTGCTAAATCATTCAAATTACAATACTCTGCCACTAGACTTAGAGTGCCAAGTTTCAGAGGTAGCCTAAGGCAAAGGGAAGGCACAGTGACTTTTCCTCACCCTGCCACTGGTTGTACGCAATGAATGTCATCGTATCAATCATAGCCTAGGCCAGAACTGAAATACGTGCATAGCTACTGCACATGAACCTTATTCTTTTAAGCAGTACTGCGAGGAAAAAAAAAAAAGATACAATAAAGTTTAGATCAGTATGTGCTATGAAATTCCCCTCTTCCCCAACCCCAAAGAAAGAAGTATCTCTAAAAGCAGCATGTTGATTTTATTTATACCATGTTTCTGGTAACAAGATGTTTTAGAGAGTCATTAGATAACTTCATAAAAATCATCAATGTCAGCTTCCAGTATGGACAACTAGAAGTGCAGTAGGCTTATTTTGGACGCAACATCTCCCTGTTCTCAGCACATACACTCGAAATACAGGACAGAATGGGAACATTTTCGCAATGATAATTAATCAGCACTACATACAAAACCATCCACGTCAGCTCCAACTCTGTTCCCTGTAGAGCACAATACCCTTTCATGTTCCCCTCTCCCTGGTATATACTCTGACAACTGTAAGCCTGTGGTTGAAAGGTCCAACACAAAGTCTACAAACAGCCACAGAAAGAAAATAAGATAAATCACTATCTCTCAAGATCCTCCAACAGTAACATTATCTATCAGGCGAAAATGTTCAGATGACTCAAGATTACAAAGGAAGGCTAAAGATAAAACTGCACAGCCACCCATCTACCCTGCAAAAGCAAAAGGAAAAAAAAATCCTGCCAATTTTGCTGAGGGGATTTCCTTCTTGCCTCTAAATCTGAGAACACAGTAAGCAGATCTCCAAAGGTGTTTACAGTCAATCTGAGACACTAGACTCCTCTGGTATCAACTAAGGATAGGATTAAGGAGGAAAGTAATTAACAGAAATTTTAAAGTTTTGTTGAATTTATCAATAAAGAAGAATAATCTCACAAGCTATTTTCTTCTTAACAATGTTTTCTGAGAAATGGTTTCATCTGTCAGGAAATGACTGGCTGTCAAACCAAACTTACTTCAGATTAACTTCCTGTTTCAATAGTACTACATAGCCAAAATATTCCTCTCCCTATTCTAGATTAATACCAAACTGCTATACCGCTATTTTTTTTGGCTAGGCAGTAACTCTTGAGGGTTTTTACCCAACCAAACTTACTCACACCATAGCTCTTAGCCAACAAAATAGGACACTAACAAAAATATTTATGAAACTGGAGACAACGGGAAACTCAAATGCAATGGGCAAAGATGATTAGCCTTTACCAGCTAACAGAAATCATTTGTTACCTCAAAATGTATGCAACGGATACAAACTGGTTTCACTGTACCTGTCCTGTGTATTATGGTTGAAACAGGGCAAACCAACCCAAAGCATTTTTTCCTGCACTTGTAATTGATTTTTTTTTTTCCATAAGATAGAATAATCTTTGCACTTCTTCATACCACCTCAGATTTTAGACCAGCTTGGCTGCTCTCTAGATTAACAAATCATTTTCTGACTGCTATGTAGAAATAAAACATTCTCATCAAATTGTATCTCATGTCTTACGATATGTTTAAGTAGCTAGATCTTCAAAGTTTAACTGCTAGTTCTGAAGGCCTTTGACTATTAGAAAATTTGTATTATCACCTGCTTTTCACTTAAACATTGTTAAAGAGCAGCAAGACTTGCAAAGCAAAAGACTGAGATATTAAGATTCTGTAAGACAGTCGTCTTGCACTTCCGCAATGCCAATTCCTTACATACACGCACCATGAGTAGATGTGTTCGCCACAGCTTTTACCCCAGCTGCTTTGAAATTTGGGTGCTGCTCTCTTGGAATGTTACTTATCATATATTCCCTTCTAGGTCTCTCACCATCATTACAGAAACAACTACGAGGCACATTTGAAAACACACATGTAAAAACCAAAAGGGACTAGTTCAAACAGTGTTTTTCTCTTGTTCTCATACAGCCTTGCCCATAGTGCTCAGTTGTGCAGGCTATCTTGGTGCCCCAATTCAAACCTTCTTTCTTTCATAAATGCTAAAAACTGAGACGTGCCTCAAAGTCCACCATCTTAGTCCAGCCATCATGTTATACATCATGTCAAGTACCATGTAATGACTCTAACCCTTTCCTGAGCCCAAGTACTACTTCAAGACTAGATTTCATCTCTGTCTCTCTGCTCTTGCACAGAGTTCAGGGACTAATACAATCACATAATTAATTTCCTCCTCACTAAACAAGCATTTTGGAAGCAGGCTTTGCCATGATCAAGGCAGGGATGTTTGGTGCTCTTCACTACTGTAAAACGCATGCCATGATTAAGGAAAAATTCTACAAAAGAACTACAGGAGATGAATACAACTAACACCTCTAAAATACTACTGCAGACACTAATAGATGCTTTGATTTATTTATTTTAGAAACACTCTTTTTAAAAAGAAAGAAAAGCACAAATGCGTTGAAGGTAATTTGCCATTCTCTTTGCAGTAGTGCCTAAGAAATTACATCCATGGATGGGAGAAATGGTAAATGCATGAATATAGGTACAGGATATTTGACTTGGGAATAGAACTTCCGTCTCATGGGTTCAAATCTAATTTCCTGCCTTCTCTCCTTACAACCTTCATCCTAATTTAGGTACAAAACAGAAAGTGAACAGAACATGATCTATTTTACCACCAGTAAGATGAGAATGCTGTGCTGTAACAGGACAGCAAACCTGGGACATGGAAGTACCTCTGCACAGATCGACAAAGGTCCAGCAGTGGCCAATCTCCCTTTGCTGAGGGTACAGTGGAAGTTAGCAAACCTTGACCAGCTTGAGGTGTCTTCTTCAGAGCTGTACATTTCTCAAACAGACTATAGCAGGGAATGCCATGCAGACACTGTAGAGGGGCTGTACACTCCTAAGTTGAGTTTCATCAGAGTACAGCACTGAGATTCAGCATTAAGCCAGACTGGATCCACTTGGTGCAAATACACAGTTAAAGTTCACGTTCTGGCAGCGCTGCATCTGACCAGCATGACTCAATTCAAGACCCTTTCCGTGTAATTTTGAGAAGTGCCATGCACATGCTGTTACCACAATTTTCAACTGGAAACAAGGAGTTCAGCACTTCTCCAAATCTTACCAATGGTATTCAGATTATGCTCTCAAACAAAAAGCCCTAATATGCCAGCAACCCTTCAAAAATTCTAGATCTAGCAACAGGACTTTTATGAGTTTCTGGTGCTCTGGGAAACTAAATCATACTAAAGAATACACAAACATTTAACCTCTTCCAACTTCAGTATTTCGTAGAAAAATTAAGACTGTACTGAATCTATTTCCTAGTCTTTTTGGAAGTGATTTACAATAGATTTCTCCAGCTATAACTACATATTGGTAATCTGTTGCATACATGTCTTTTTATAATAATTTTGGATTGCAGTTTCTAAAGTAAATGCTGTTGAAAAAAGTCCACAACACGTCAGCAGCAAAATAGCTGGTAAAAAAAAATAAAGCCACTTTCACATGAGATACAAGCTCATTATGTGACAAAGACTATTTTATGTTAGTTAGTAAAATACAAAGCACTCCATGCCATATCTACTTGCATTGAGAAAATTAAACAACTTTATGCATACATTCTTCCAAAAAGGAGAAAAAGAACAAAATCTCAAGTATTTTTTTACGCAACAGTAGAAATCCTGTGGCATTTATCCACATGTTCTTAAAAACATGCAGAATCAGTTAGTCCAAAAGGAAACTGTTAGTCAAGGGTTGTTAACTTAATTTCTATACTCAGCAGATGTTGTTTTTGTAACGACAGATAAAGTGATGTTAAACAATTTCCTTATGAGAAAAGTATTACTTTGCAGCTCACAAACATTTACCTATATACTAGCTATGATTTGCAATTATCTCTCATTCACCCTTCAGCACAATGAGTTCAACCAGAAGACTTTTCTCCCTTCTGTATAGCCATTTGTGTATGCATTATAAAAATGCATTTATTGTAGGATACAAGCCTACAGAAATAAACAAAATACGAAACCTACAATGACCATGATTTATTAGTAAACCAGCTAAGTAAAAAGTCTGGAAAGTGTACTGTAATTACAGAAAAGATACTTACAAGGACTAACATCTCTGTATCTGTTTCGATTTCTGTTTTCTGGATATTTTGCAACCTTATGAGGGTAGTCACTGGATTTATGTCGAATTTCCTTTAAAAGACAAAAAATGCCATTTACTTATAGCCAGTAAGCTGATCAAGGTTAGTGTTCTACACATCCTATTGTAAGACTTTCGAGCTTATTAATTAATCAGAGTTATTAATAATTAACATTTTTAAGCCAACCTTTACTACACCTAGTGTTACTTCACTCAGAAAACATGAGTCCCATTCTTGGCCAACATGTTGCCATTTAGATTTTCCCACATTTGGCTAACACCACCGAACTAATGTAAGTGCAATTTGGTAAGCAATTGATGTAGCAGAATAAAAGAAAAAAAGATCCCAGATATTTACTATGCTTACAGTTTACATCAGACTTGCACGTTATCTCCTACACTAATAAGAGACTCAGAGAGACAGAACCCACAGCAATATACTGCTAGCTCCTTTACATCAACTGGAAGCATAAATCCCCACAAAGGTAACTGAACCAGTTAATGATTTTATGGCTGCTGTTAACGCCCACAAGATTATTCTTGGTGGTTTGATGGTTCAACTCATATAGCTGTAGTTAAACATGATCCAATACGAAGAAATAATTCTAGACTCACAAATACCAATGTGAAATCACAGCCTACTTCTCGTCAGACGTTAATACAAACCTTTCAATAATCTACATTTGGAACATACTAATTTCAGACACTGTTTTAAGAATCATATTGTTCACATACTCTGAATGTTCAGCTTTTTAATTTTTTTGCCTCTGTGTGTAATCTTTTCCACTTCCCTTAGACATATTTACCTCATGTATAGGACTGAAAACACAGCTAAAGTGCTACCAATGAGTAGCCTCCAATTAACTGAACTATCCCTTTATAACTCTGTGCTGATGCTATCTCAGCAGACATGTTGTACGATATAAAACTAACAACATTTTATTTTTAATTCTCCTTTTGTTTCTAGACGATGTTGCTACATATGATCATTATGACCTAAAGAGCGTTTAACCTTCCCTTTACAACTAAGCATTCTATAGTCTTCTCTGTTTCCACCACCTTCTTTGTCTTCTTCCCAGACAATGAACACAACCAAAAAGGACTTCAGTGGCAATCTAACATGTAAGGAAGCTCCATTGTTTAGCCTCTGGTCTATGACAATACTGAAGTACAGTGCCAACCTCTAAAGAATCTAAAGCACACTGTGGAGCAGCAACGGTGAGGCACCAATGCTCTAAATATTTGTATAAAAATCTCTTGATCTGTGAGACAATCAGGGTTTTTAAATTTATTTTGATACAGCACACTGAAACTGGTCTTCTCCTCTAGCTTATATGGCTTACAAGCTTTGGGAGCAACCACATACACATTGAATGAATGCATCTGGCAGGCACTAACAATCAAGTTCCCATGAAATGCAAATCCTGTATTACTCCATAACAGTATGCAACATATTTCATTTCTAAAAGCACTGGCAGTCTATGTGCACCACAGAAACAGACCTGTAATTTGGTCAAGACACATTAAAACAGCTAGAAACACTACTATAGTGATGGGGGGTGCTTACTAAAAAGAATTAAACTTAAGCAAGTTTAATGACTACTTCTAAAATCAGTTTTCCCTCTTACGATCCAGTCATCACAAACTGGAGAAACAAACCAGACGCCACATAAGGCTATTACAAAGGAAAAACTTGCATTTTAAAAAAAAAGTGAAAATCAGTATTATTTCTTCAGTCATTAATTCAGATTGAACAGTAATCAGCATGAGCATTCCAAGCTTCACAGGATTTTACCGTAAGTCTTGACAAATTCATGGAACTGAATGGCAAATATACAAAACTGGTCTCAGCAAGAATACTGTATTTTTTTAAGCATATCTGTATTCTCTGGACCTAGTATAAAACAAATGTGTTAAGTACTCTGAAAAAATCCTGAGCTCGCAAAATCTACAGAATTGGGAAAACATCAAAACTCTAATACAAAAAACTCTTTTGAAAAATTTACAACACAGCTGTAGCAAAATTAGGAAATCTATAGTCAGAGTTTAGGAGAAAATTTTCTCTTCAGTTTACTTTTCCAAGTATAACTAAACGACATCAAAACGGCTTGTGAAGGCTGACTTACTTGTTATATCACATGTAACGTGCGTGTGTGCTTTTTTTACCTCATGAAAAACATCGGCTGCAAAGTTCTTCCCATGCACTTTTAATCCTATTAATTTAGCCCAGTTTCTCTCTGATATCCCTTTTAAAATTCAAACCACAGTTCAGTTCCATAGTACGCGTCTAGAGATAACGTATTTGAAATACACAGACCCGGTTAAGCCATGAGTGCCCCGCCGCCAGCACCCGGCTGAGGGGCCC